GTTTACTGGGTCCGACAACTTGAAATGCTCAACTGAATACCCAGGCACCCACATATCGTCTCCACTGTGTCTGATAGTGAACAGAGCACACAATCCTGGTATCCAACCAAAAGAAAATCTTGCTTGAGCTCAGCACCAGCTTAAAAAAACTCAAACCAATCAAGGAGTCCTAGAACAAAGTGTATTTTGTGACAGAAAGACTAAACCAACAAAATTTAGTTCATTATCCAGCCTTCACTATTCTTCTTGCAGGATGCATTTTCATTGTTGAAGTGAACTGCTTTTAACATATATGAGAATAATTGTTTTTGAGTGGTTTCACATTGCTGAGGACTAATAATATAAAATTCTGTACAAAAGAAGAGGAATAAGCAAAACCCAAACAGAAGTCAAAACAGTACCATGATGTATTAACAATAATCTGTCTCTGGTTTAAAAGGAAATCAATACATTTTATATGGATTAATTACAAATTGAGAAACAAGGGATGAGAAACAGTACTCAAAACCACATCTGCATGGAAAATCTCTGTTTAGTAGCAAACCCAGGAAATAAGACTGCTCATTGCTGAAATGTTTTAGGATTCTAAACATACCATCATCATCATAGTAAATGCGAACATCTCCTTCTGTTGTGTACATGATTGCATCAATGTCAGCTGCTAAAGCATCCCTGTGGCTGTCAGGGAGCAAAGAAATCTTTTCCTTCAGCACCTGAAGTACCTAAATTCAGAAAAACTGTCACTTAGTTTTTCATTAGGAAATTTAAGTAACAATCTATTTCTACTGCAGTTAATAAAATGAGCTGTACTGCTAAAACATTTGTCTAACACATGTAACAGCTAAAGTGGAACACTGGGAAGTTTGGGCATTCCTAAACCCTAATTCAGCAGCATTGAAGAAGGTCCATTTACTGCTCAGAACAAATGAAAACCAAGCATCTTTAAAAATGTTTAGAAAAGGTACTGTCAAAACAGCAGCAGCAACACAAGCCATGTCAGCCAGCACAGCCCAGTGAAGCTTGCTCCCACAACCACACTCTGCCTTCTCACCACTGAATTCTCACTGTGAGCAGGTTCCTAAGCTTTAGATTCGGTGTCTTTCAGCTATCTCTCACAAATTTCTTTGAAAATCAGTTTCATTACCAATGATTTTATCTCTGCCATTTTGTGATCCACACTCCATTTAGAAAAAGCTTACACATTGCAACTGAACTGATTGAAACTGATTGAAAATTGTTCCCCTGGCAATTAATGTCCTTATGACACTCACATCCACATTATCTCAGTGTCCTATGATCCACACACCTGTATTAAGTAGAAAATGGTGGGGTGCAAAAACTGCACAGAGGTAGCACCCCAAACAACACCCAAAGTCAAGGCACAAGAAAGGATGAAACTGCAGAACTTATTTTTAACTAATACTCATTTTTTACCCTAACTTGATCTTCTATTTTGAATAACAAACAAATGCAGAGGTTACATGGAAGCAAGAGGCAACCTTCACAAGGAGACGCTGGTTTCTAGTACATTTTGCAGGTACAAAATTCACTGGTCAAAGAAATGACAAAGTAGCCTGGGATCACAGCCTCATCTACTACATCCTTGGCTTACATGAAATCTCTGCATCAATGTAAACCCGAAAATTTTACAGTGACCAGAGCAAGTTCTTTCAAGAGGAAGCAGAGGAGAAGCCCTTTCAGAACAACTGCAAGAAACAAACTCACGTTTTATTGCTATCTCTGTTCAGAGAGAGGAGGCAAGACTGTTCAGAGGGGATGCACTAGAACAGCACCAGAGTTTTTGCTGCAAAGGCATGGGTGGCAATAGGACAGGCCACGCTGACATCCTGTAACAAGGCAGACAGAGACCTGGAGTGTCTCCTCCACTTGACTCTGATGCATCTGTTACCTCCATGCCCTGGGAAGGCCAAGACAACTTCAGCAATTAAAAATTCATAAAAACACAGAAAACACAGCACTGATGTTTAACCAGGTCAGTCACATCCCTGAGACCACGACACAAGACTGAGGCCTTCCAGCCAAAACCAGGAATCAGCTCTATGATCTGATGGGGGTGGGAATGCATCAGTGCAGCTGGGATGAGCACAAACCAGTTTCTTTCTTCACACGAATTCTGGTGCACAGACTGAGTCAGCTTCAGCCACCTGCCTACACCTAGAGACACACAATTCCACCTGGCATCCAGAGCCCACTGCCTTTCCATCCTTCCTGGTACACCAGCAATCTTTCTGGCATTTGGTCCTTATGCCCAACAGCTAAAATATATTTTATTTTGTTTTAAATACAATAACTTCAAAATAAGTTTCATGCCTTGAAATAAACATAAAAAAAGCTGTAGGACAAAAAATTGCCCACCCTATGTCACATTACTCTGTTTTTCCCAAATTAAACCAAAGTGGCAACTTGTAGATAATGACAGGCTGAGTGCATCCATGTTACTTTGTAAGAGACAATCAACTGGTAGAATAGGAGATGGAAAGCATTTACCTCTGCTGATACAAGTTCTTCCAGCAGGTCAAGTTTACGCTGAGACAGCAGCTTTGAAACAACAGAAAAGGCCTATCAAAATAAAACAGAAACAAAAACCAAACATGAACAAGTAACTCTAGGTTGGCTTATTTTTCAGGCAAATCCATAAGTATATGACAAGCAACCCAAATAGTCCATGATTTAAGATTTCAATATTTGCAGAGGGTATCACCATTGAAATGTAATCCGTCCAGCATTACAAGAGTGATTTCATGACTTGATAAAAACATACAAGTTCTTTTCAAAATCTTATTTAAAACATCAAAGCTTCCAATAGGTGAATTTATATTTTACAAAAGAAAAAAAAAAAGCTTTGCAGTATTTTGCATGTTGCTTTTACTAATTTTGATAATTCAGACAGTCTTTCCCTGTAGATATTTTGTTCTCCTGCCCTCTTTTCCAATTCATCTTCTGGTTTCAGTCAAAACTGATGCTGTGATTCACAAATTTTCTTTAAAAATCTGGTTTAGTCTCTCTACTTCAGGAAGGTCAGCTCTCCTTTCTCCCCTCAATTTTGCAGGCATATTGACACACAATTATGCCTCTACATATTCAAGTAGTGCACTTGTGAAGGAAAGTGTATTTAGGATGCTACACCAAGTAAAAACAGACACCAAAACAAAGCCTCAAAAAAACAGGCCAAGGTAAAACAGGTGGTTCCACATATGTGTCAAATTACTTGTTTTGGGTTTTTTCCTCTCTTGAATTGATCCTAATCATTTTAACATTCTGTCCCCTGATGTGTTGTTTTGAGCTGGTTTTTTTTTTGGTAAAAGTAAACATAAGAATAAAGTTTCCCAACAGATAACTCTGTAATTTTCATATGACCATCTTTGAGATACTTCCCTCTTTGACACATTCTGTTGACAAGGCTTGGGCTCATAAATTTGGAGAAATAAATATATATACACCAGCTCTATGCCTGTCTAAGCTTGATCATTTCAGGAAAACCTGCTAAGAGGAGACACACTGCTGCTTAAAATCTCTATAACATTTGGAATCATCTTCCTTCATGCTACTTTGGGGGATGGCTTAACCCATTCATTTTAATTGTGGAATCTGGGAAAACAAGAAATTCCTGAAGTACAGCTCTGCTTATATCATTTGCCTTGAAGTGTGGTGCTTGGAGCCAGCAGAGGGGCTGGGAATGTGCTGCTCCATGTATTTTACACACAGCAGCACATTCGTGCTATGATGTCCACAGATAATAACATCAGGCAGGACATCAGGAGGAATTTCTTTATGGAAAAAGCTGTCAAACATTGAAATGAGCTGCCAGGGAAGTGGTGGAGTCATCATCCCTGGAGGTGTTTAAGGAAAGACTGGACATGGTGACATGCTGGACTCAACGCACAGCACAGACACAGAGCTCCTGGAGTGGGTCCAGCAGCAAGGATTGGGCACTGGAGCATCTCTCCTACAAGGAAAGCTTATGAGACTTGTTCAGCCTCAAGAAGAGATGGCTGAGAGGGACCTTATCAATGTTTATAAATATTTAAAGGGGAGCAGTGCCACGAGTATGGACCACGTTCTGCTTGGTGGTGCCAAGCAACAGGACAAGAGGCAATGGGCAGAAACTGATGCACAGGAAGATCCACCTGAACACAAGGAAGGACTTCTTTACTGTGAGTGTGACCAAGCACTGGAACAGGTTGCTCAGAGGTTGTGGAGTGTCCCCCACTGCAGATATTCTAGACCTGTCTGGACACAAGCCAGAGCCATGTGCTCTAGGACGACCTTGCTGGAGCAGGGAGGATGGAGCAGATGACCTACTGTGGCCCATTCCTACCTCACCTGTTCCGTGAATCTGTGACTATCCCCGAAATCTTCTCCAGCCTAACTGGTTCTATATGCCCATTCCTACCTCACCTGTTCTGTGAATCTGTGACTATCCCCGAAATCTTCTCCAGCCTAACTGGTTCTATAATTCCATGAAAATAGCCGCGCACATCGGCAGCCCCTGGGGAGGCTCAGCGGACCCTTCCCCTCAGGCTGGCCGCTCTCCTCGCCCCGAGGCCCCAGCCCCGCTGACCTGCTTGGCTCCCCGCGTGAACTCCTCGATGCTGAATTCGTGGTCGAAGTAGAGGCGGATGAGCAGGTAGTAGAAGCGGGTGCGGAGCCAAGCGAAGGGACTGCTGATCCTCACTACCACGACGCGCCGCTGAGGGCCCTCGGTCCCGGATCCGGCACTGCTGGCGAACCGAGCGCTGAGCTGGGGCGGACGGGTCCGGGCGGGGCCCGGCGGGCCCGGTGCGGCTGCAGCCGGCGGCAGGAGCCGGGCGGAGCCCGCCAGCGCCCGCGCCAGCCAGCGGACACGGCCCGGAGCCGCGCAGCGCAGCGCCATGATGGCCCGGCCCGGCCCCGCCCTGTCCGCCGCAACTGCCGCTCCCCGGAAACACGGCTGCGGCCACCGCTGTTCCGGCGCAGGCGGAGCGGTCCGGGCTGCCGGCTGTGGCCGTGCCGGGTCAGGGGAGCCGAGCCCCGGTCACCCCCGGAGAGGGGCGGCGTCCCCTCTGCTGGCCCTGGTGGGGCCGCGTCTGGGTACGGTGTCAGTTCTGGGCTTCTCAGTACACACAGAGAGACAAGGAGCTACTGGGGAGAGTCCAGCAGATGCCACAAAGATGATGAAGGGCCTGGAGCATCTCTGTTCATGAGGAGAGGCTGCGGGAGCCTGGAGAAGATCGTGAGGGGATCTCACGAATGCATAGAAATACCTCAAAGGCGGCTGCCAAGAGGATGGTGCCAGACACTTCTCAGTGGTGCTCGTGACAGGACGAAGAGTAATGGCCATAAACTAAAAGATAATAAGCTCCACCTCAGCTTGAGAAAGAACTTACTTACATTGAGGGTGGCAGAGCACTGGAACAGGCTGCCCGGGAAAGTCATGGAGTCTCCGTCTCTGGAGACATTCAAACCCCAGCTGGACATGGGTCACCTGCTGCAGGTGACCCTGCCGTGGCAGGGGTTGGACTCGACGCTCTCCAGAGATCCCTTCTAACCCTGACAATTCCGTGATCCGCGGGCTCCCGGCCCTTGCCCAGAGGGCGAGGCAGGAACGCTTGTGCGCGGGCTCTTCTTTCCGGGGGAAGCGGCGGGGCGGACGCGGTGCCCGCGGCCATGGAGCGGCGGGAGCAGCGGGAGGCGGCCGTGGAGCGGCTGGACGGGGTGACGCGGGAGCGCTTCCTCCGGGACATCTACCCGCGGGTACGGGGCTCTCTGCCCGGGAACCGCCGGAGCGGCTGGGGCTCCACGGCGACACAGGGCAAGGCAGGAGGTGTCCGGGGACCGCTCCTCAGCGGGCACAGCTGGGGCAGGCCAAGCCCAGGGTTTGGGTTTGTGTGTTCCTGGAAAGGTCCCTGATGCTTTGAGGGGAATGGGAGTTTAGGAGCAAGGAGCTTTTATGGGCAGGTCCCGTCTGAGCTGCTGGCAAGTTCCGACAGGTGATCTCTGTAAGAGTCCATTGCGTTTGGCAGTGGTTAAAAAGTTCGTTCTGCTGCTTTGTCGTCTCTTGTTTTAGTCCCGCCCCCCGGCCATTACCCCCACCCTCCGAGGTCCCAATGAAAAGCAAAAGTGGCTTTCTCCGTTTTGTGTGTAGGCTCGATCAAACCTGTACGTGGTTGTGAGCAGCAAGGAACCTGGTATAGGTGGGAAGAGCTTCTCTCATGCGAACATAACAGCATCACCACAGCTCACAGTCTGCACCTTAACTTTGTGGATTTTGACATGTTTTGTGCTAAGCCTTGGCTAGAAGGATTAAATCCATTCCTTTGGCTGGATTCCTAAATGGCCCCAGCACAAAGTGTGGGCTATAATTGTCTTTGCCTCTCCATATCCTTAGGAGAGGATGCTTTTCGTTAAGAAAGAACACATAGTTAATATAGAAACAGTTCCATAATTTGCTGCATTTTGTTTCAACATTCAGCATTTGATTCACATTGCTTGTGAACAGATTAGTTGTAACCTTGTGTAGTGGGTCCTGGCATTCAGCTGACTTGTTTACTTCGATGTAATTTGAAAAATTCATTCTGGTTTTTTTTTTTTTTTTTTCTGTTGGATGCTGTGGTAGTACACCACTGAATTTTGTTGTTGTTGATGTTGTTCCTTAGAGAAAGCCAGTAGTGTTGACAGGACTGGAACTGGGTGCTTGCACCACCAAATGGACAACAGATTACTTGAGCCAAGCTGAAGGATCTAAAGAAGTGAAGATTCATGTTTCTGCAGTGCCACAGATGGATTTCCTCAGTAAGAACTTTGTGTATAGGTACTTCACTCCAAAGCCTCTTGTATTTTAAAAGCATGTGCTTGTAACTTACAGACATACAGTGCATCTGTTTGGAGCTGAGGGTGGGAATAGGAAGATAGTTTGTGAAAACATTACAGTATGTATCAAAGGGTTGTCCTAGATTTCTCCCACTTCTATTAATTCTACACCCTGAATAAATACAGTGAAGGTGAAATGAGGGGCCAAACAGCACCTTAAAAATGATGTCATGGAGTGTTGTAAAGGTATTTTGTCAGCACACTCTTGTAGGAAATTTGAGCCTGGCATTTGCAGCTGTTAATTGAAATGAAACCATAACACCCTTGATATCTACACTTGATGACCTGGATTTTGTTGTAGTTATATGGTGCATTCTCAGTGTTGAATAGACTCACTGTGTGTCTGATCCCCTTTGAATGCTGGTGTGTGTGTGCCAGCCATGGTATTCCACTCCAGAAAGGGTGTAACTAGTTAAAACCAAGCTCCTTTCAAAGTTAGCATGTGCAGCTTTCAGAATGTTCAAACCACTGATACCACACATTTCACCAGCCCATTTCACCAGCTCTTTAATCTTGATGTGGGCCACAAAAAACCTTGATCTCCTCTGGAGCTTCTTTTATGTAACTGCCAGAACATTTCTTCTGAGTTCATCTAATCTCAGTCATTGTGTTGTCCTTCAAGGGTAAATGCCTTTGTTTTAGCAGTCCTTTGTTTTCCCCAGGTGGGAACAGGACGTGCTCAGTGTGTTAAACTTCTAAGCAGCTGGGAGCCTGTGCTGTATCTGCAAACCAGCCACAAGTCTCTGAGTGGAGCCTGTTGTTCAGGGGATAAACACAAATTGCAATCATGAGGCATTCTGCTCACTGCATAATGAACTATTGAATCTCTGAAATGAGGGTGTACTTGACTAACTTTGCCTTATCTCTATACTTCATTTTCCCCGCTCTGCTTTGGGGTTTTTTTAGTATCTCTTGCTGTGAGTTCACATGCAGTTGTTCTGGAGTCTTAGTTTTAGCACGTTTGTAGACAGCCAAATGGACTCTGATGCTCTGGTGGTGTTTCATTAAAGCAGGTGTCAGGACTTTGACATACTTCACTTGAAATTCAGGAAGCTTTGACCTTTTCCACAGCAAGCCCCTCATTCTAATCCGACGGGACAATAAGTAGAAACAAAAGAATAGAAATTCTGGGGACTTAACATGCAGTTCCATTAATTTAAACTGATGAACATTAGTAGTACTGCAGTTCTGTTGTGAGTTGCATGCTCTACTCCTGTTTTTGTGTTGGTTCTGGAACTCGTCCAGCCAGGTTGTGACGTGCTGCAGAAATCTAAATGGTTTTCTGCTGTTTTAGCTTGCTAAGCAGGTTCACAGAGAGGTCAGATGAGTGCCAGTGCTACTGTAAGGGGGGAGATGGGGTGATGAGGGCAGATAGCAAGGGCAGAGCTCTGGTAGCACCAGAATGCATCAGTTTAGGCTGGTGTAGAGCTGTGCTCTCACTTTCTTCAGCAGCAAACCTAAGTGGACATGGTAGACCAGTTTGGCTGAAGTCAGAGCATTGGGTTTTGTTTGGTTTTCCATTGACTTCAATGGGTTTTGTATTTGCCTATTTCAAACAAGCCTAAAATGTTTAGAGAATTGGTTTAAGTACTGTCAGATGGCAGGTTCACATTCTAGTAAAAAAGATAACAGGGTCAAGAAAAATTTTACTTGAGAATGGTTTCTTCTTAACCCTGGGCACTTGGTGGTTGCCCTGAAGTGTTATGTTTACATGCAATGGTTCATTATCCAGTGACACTTAGTGTGAGATGGTGAGCTGCATGAATGTAACACTGAATTCATAATAATGAATACATGGCCTGTTGCTGATTGTGCTTGGTTTGCCATTCAGCTATCAACTGATACCAAAATCTGTAATCTGCATGAAAAGCTCCCATTATGTAGATAAATATGTAACACTCTTTCTGACTTCAGAGACTTCTGACTCTAATGCCCAGTGACTCTTCTTGAATCTTCTGAAGTTGTGTTTAGTAAATCTAACGAAAACTGCAAAGAAACATTTGAAATATCAAGATGCCTGTGTTTTGAGGAGCTGAAAAAGCATATATTTTTTTTTTAAAATCCATATAACTGAAATAAATTTTATAGATGTATAAATGAAGGTAGTTATCTGTGTTCCTGCACAAATTCATAGTAGAAAATGCATAGATACAAATATGTGCATCTTCCCTGTTGGAGTTTTCTTGATGCTGAACTTTTCTGCAAATTTATAAAAATGTACAGTAAAGAAGCCTAAAAATGACACACTTAAACAGTTAAGCAAGTATTGCCACAGTTTGAGTCTTAATTTGACTGTGAAAAATGTTTTGTTCTGTGACTCAGACCATTCAGAACTCCTGAGCTCAAGAGGGGATCTTAACAAAGTGTATGAACACTTGATGGAGCAGTGTTCTCTGTGGTCCACGGTGACAGGACAAGAGGCAATGGGCACAAGCTGAAATACACGAGATTCTGTTAACCCCTTCAACACACACAGACACACACGGTTTTACAGTGAGGTTAGTCAAACAATGGAACAAAAGGAACAGGTTGCCTAGAGAGATTATGGAGTCTCTATCCTTGGAGATCCACAAAACCGAACTGGATGCTGTCCTGTGCGAGCTGCTGTCGTGAGCCCTGCTCTTGGCAAGGGGCTTGGACTGGAGGAGCTCCAGAGGTGCTTCCAGCATCACCTGCTACAGGATTCTGTTTGGATATATATTGGAACAATTCACTAAAACAGAGAAGTTTCTAAGTGTAGGATTCCTGTCTTGGGAGAACTCTTCAAATATCTGCTGGAAACGCTGATTAGTCACCATGTTAAGTTAAAAAAAATAAGAGAGCAGCCTATTGCGTCTTCCATTGCACTTGATATGGTAAGGGAGCTTATTATAAATCTAGAGTTTAGACCATGTGTTGTTACACTGATTCATGGTATAAATTCAAATACTTGTATTTCAGAACTCTGCCTTTTGATGCATTTGTACGAAGAGCAGCTGAAGTCAAGCACAAGGAGTACTTTCTTACTGAGGTAATTACCTTAGTGTCACAGTTTCTTCTGTTGCTTATTTTGCTGGTATATAGAGAGAAAAGTGATGAATTGCAATTTAAAGTCTTAAATTACAGTAAAGTCTTAAATTTTCAGTAAAAAAAGTTGATCTTTAATTTAACTGTCTTGTGGGTTGATGCCGAAGGAAAAAATGTGAGAAGTAATTTTTAGAAGTTTTTTTTTGTATGTGTGCAGTGTGGTTAGCTTCATCCTGTTTCTCTTAACAAAAACTGCTTACATGAGCAGAAATTCCAGTATGAAATTTAGAAATCAAACCTTGCTTTAGAATAACAACCATATCATTTGTGTGTTTTGCAAGAAAATGTCGTGAAGATATTTTAGAATTTGATGACTATCAAAATACAAATCCAGATATATTGTAACATAATTTTTGAGTAGCAAATGTGTGGTTATCTCTCCATATCAGTGTTCAGGCTAGGGATTTTTCAGATAACTGTGATTGGGAAGCAAACAGTTTTGAATGTAGACATGCTTTTTACCTTTTATGCTGTATAGAATGCTGTAAGCTTTGAAGCCAATAAAAATGGTTTTCTGCATCAATATACTGAAGAACTTAAATTATAATCTGCATTTGCTTTGAGTCTGTTCAGTAACAGCAGTGCTGAAGCAGTTGACCAGTCTCTCCACACTTTACTCTTCTTTCAGTTAACTTATTTTTCCCTTTTCTCAAGATGAGCTGCAGGCATCAGTAAATGGCAGTATAACAAAGTAGCTGAATTTCTAGATGCCCTTTATTTGTATCATATTTTAATGAAATTTTGCATTAGATAAAGGAGAAAATACAAGCTCTCTGTTTAAGTGTTTTAGTAATTCTTATTAAAGAACCCCAAACAGTAACTTTTTTGCGTTCTCTTCAGGATGAAAAGTACTATTTGCGATCAGTGGGTGAAGATGTTAGGAAGGTAAGTTACTGGAGATTACAGTTCTAATATTCTAAAGTTGCAGTTTAGAAATATTTTTAACGTCTGTTGTCATCCAGCTTACTTAGTGCCACATGGTTTGTGAATCTGAGTGGATTTATGTCAGAGTACTTCAATGTATCTAAAATAGTTGCTGTTGCATGGGAGCTGAGCTGATCACTGAAGAGAACATTGCTAAACTGCCTTTCTTTAGCTTTTGTTCTAAACTAACATAAAAGGATTTATGCTGATCTCTTGCTCGTGCAGTGTGATTCCTAGCAGCCGTGATTAAGAGCAGCTCTCTAGCTGTCCTTATTAATGGCATTTGGCAAGTCAATGCTGAAAAGCATTGCTTGGCAGTGCTGAAGTTCTAACCCCGATTCATATGATTGGAAATGACTGTGAAGTGCTCTCCCATTTAAATGTGCATAGAGGGTTCTCTAAGGGTTACACCCTTTCCGTTTCAGGATGTTGCAGATATCAGGAAGCAGTTTCCTATTTTAGCAGAAGATGTTCATATTCCAGAGTATTTTGAGAAGGAGCAGTTCTTCTCTAGTGTCTTCCGCATCAGCTCAGCTGGATTACAGTTATGGACACATTATGATGTAGGTAATATGTGGGTTTAGCATAAAATGTTGCAGATGGCATTACAGAGTTGAGAGAATAAGGTGCAAATCTCTGTCAAAGATTAGAGAATAATAACAAACTTCATGTTTTGAAATAGTAAAATGAACCACATTCAGTGGTATGGTGAGGTTTAAATGTTGCATTGCTTAGGCAAAATATTTTAACTGGGTTTATGTCTAATTCCAGATTCGTAAGATTAAAGGATGTTTTATTTTGTTTCCCTTTTTTAAACTGTTTTGAGTTTCAGTTGAAAATATGAAACACAGTAATTTTAAACATTTTGTCTTCAACATTGCTTTCCTTTTTTTTGTTCACTCTAATGGCCAGATTAGGATAAATTCTAGTTGTACAATGCACTTACAACTGTGCAATGATTGTAGTAGCTTCTGGCTGCAATGCAATAGATTCCAAATAAGGTTGTCTTCTAACACTGTGCAGTGAGTTCTGAATAAATTTATTTATAAGATAATTCTTAACATGTGAAGGTTTTATTAATACTCTTTTTTAAGCTAATAATTAGATTAGTTGAAGTCTATATATTTATTCCATCAACCTTTGGCTGACATCTCTGTTATTACACTCATCCCAGGTAATGGACAACTTCTTAATCCAAGTCACAGGGAGAAAACGAGTTGTTTTGTACAGTCCTCGAGATGCACCATATTTATATTTATCAGGTATGCATGTCACAGGTATCTAGATCAGAGATCTGGTGATCTTAGCTTTTCAGCTCACAAGTGTTGCACTGTAGAAAATAATGACTAACAGATGACTTGCTATAAAAGTAGTAATTTGTTCCTTTAACTCTGATTCTGTGTGCTTTAGTCAAAGCTAAGGGAAACAACAGTTTTGCCTGATTATTTTCAATACCTAACTGAAGGAGTAAAATGTTCTGTCTGGGTTCAAAATAGTTATTTAGATGTCAGAAAAAGTGGTTTTTGATGTTAATAAGGTTGCAGTTACAGAACAAATACAGACAACAGGAGAATATCTCTTCAGTAAATGAGGGGTGCCATCAGGTTTTCCTGGTTTTGAGAAATAAACCAGTACTAAATTTGATTAAAGAACTGCCATCTCCAGCAACATGATAATGCTTTGTTACTATTGGAAGAGTGGGAATATTTATTCAGTGAAATTTTCCTAGGTACTAAATCAGAGGTGCTGGATGTGGATAACCCAGACATGGAGAAATATCCCCTTTTTGTGAAAGCCAAGCGCTATCAGTGTGTTTTGGAAGCAGGAGATGTGTTATTTATTCCAGGTAAGTAGTAATAGTTCCTGACCATGGCATGGTATTAAACAGTCTTGTTTCTAATTTATGATTTCTGGAGATGGTAAGAGATTACTAAAGCATTCCTCTGTTATAAGTAGGAACATTGAAAGATGTTGGCAACACTAATTTACTTTTTCGAACTGTACAATTAACTTGAGAAACAGTATTATTATATCTACCTACAAATCTTGCTTTCCCTCAAGTGTACACTCTATGCTCCTGAATTTGTGTCTTAATAGATTAATACTCTAAACTTACCATCTGAAATGACTTCAGTGACCTGAGTTTTTTAGTGATAGAGTGAAATACTATTTCTGTTCTTCTGTAGCTCTGGCACTTAAGCACCATGAGGCACATGGTCTGATGAGAGTTATGGATGGTAGAGTTCTTGGACCTTCTAAAGATTAATAATCCTCTTTGGGGAATGGAAACACAAGTCCTAATCATTGTTCTGCACAAGCAGAAAGCTGCTCCTGGGCTGACATGACATATTCTGGTAGTCAGGAAAAGGCATTTGAATTACTCCTATTGAACTACTCCTCCTTGTTACTGCTTTTATTTTAACTCATTGTGAGCTTGCAGCAGATAAGACTTATCCTGTCACTTTTACTTTATCTGGGCAATATAAACAGGTCAGTAAACAAGAAGGTAATAGGTTTTTAGGAAGTAATTTTATAATAGTTTCTTAGCCTTTGACTTGTTACTTAATTTTGAACTGACCTTTATGTTTCTTCGTAAATAAACTTTTGGTTACAGTTAGATATGTCCATACAGTTATATGTCACACTGCTGCTGATGTCAGCATCCCTGTTTTCTGTTTATGGAGTCCAGATACTTGTTTGTCTTTGCCAGTGGGTGAGCAGAGTCAAACTTGAGACACACTCGGCTCTCTTTAAGACTGAATGGAGAATATAGGGACTTTTGAGTCCAGAGAATGGTGCTTTGTCAGCATCCTGCAGTGCATATCACTGAAAAAAAAAGATGTTTTCTGAGGAATGTGTTTGGTTATTATGAAGAAGGTAGAAGCAGCCCCTCTTCCTAACCTGAAAGAAGCTTCATGTTGATTTCTCAAAATAAACTTTTCTATGTCTTCAGCACCTACAGGCAAATAAGATGCAATGAACACAGCATTCATACTTTTAGCTTAATATTCAAGTATCCTAAATATACCATATTAAACTGATTCTTAAAATTTCCTCAATGAAACAAAGATGTCTTGGCTTCCTTACCACAGTCATGATTCAGCTGAAAAACCTCATGCCTTCATTATGACAAGATTAGAGACTTTGGCTGATGCTGGTGGTTTACATTAATGCCTGGACAGCATGTGCAAGGTTAGGGACTAAGAGAAAATAGATACCTGCATTTAGAGTGGAGGAGAGCAAGGGAAGGTGTCTTTCTTTCACCCGACACATGCTTATCCTTTGCTTACATTTGAGTACCTCTACACTTCAGCAATTGTTACGTTTATGAGAAGTTACGGATCAGCATAAATGTCTTGAAAAACTTCTTAAATTTGGTACAATGCAATACATTCATATGGATATCTATAAATAGACAAAAATACAGTAGTTGAGGCTTTTCCTCAACTAGATTTCGTTTGGGCAATTCTGACACTTGCTTGGAGTCACATGGAAGTTTTGCACAGTAATTTTTATTTTAGACATTTCTTGCTACAGCTCTGTGGTTCCATAATGTAATTTCTGAGGAATTTGGAGTGGCACTGAATGTCTTTTGGAAGCACCTTCCTGCTGAGTCCTATGATAAGACTGACACTTATGGAAATAAAGATCCCATGGCAGCCTCTAGAGCTATACAGATCTTGGACAGAGCCTTGAAAACACTTGAAGAACTACCTGAGGAATATAGGGATTTTTATGCTCGGAGAATGGTGTTACGTATCCAAGAAAAAGCCTACAGGAATGATTATGGATAAAGTAACACACTGCAATTCAGCAAGGTCCCTTGCAAGTAGAAAATTGTATGTTAGTATGGAAACTGTCCATCTGTACTTACATACACTTTCTGTGAGACCAATAAAAACTGTAAATAAACATTCATCTCTAACAAAGTTCCTCTTGTAGATTTTCTTCCTTTTTCATTTTTTTCATGTGCAGTGAGGTCACAGTTTGCTTGATCTGGAGATGGTCTCTTTTCTACAGTGAGACAGACATTTGCAGTGCCTCCACTTACAACTGTACTTTTTTGGAATGTTCTACTTAAATTTCTCTGAACAAAAGTTCTGGTATGTGGGCTGACAGCATGTATGCTTAGAAGTAACTGCACGTATTTGTGAATGCAGCCTCACTAAATTTTAGGAGAGCCATAGTGGTTCCTGAGGAGGTCCAAGCAAGCCATTGGTGGTAGCTGTAATGGTCATGGTTTCTTTTTAAGTGATAACCTGGCAGTTAGTGTAGGGAGTTTCTTCTCCCCCTTGTAGTGAGACAGAGTGGGTGTGGGAAAAAAAGCAAAAACTAACCATGCCAGATTACACTTAGAATTGTGCAGCAGCTTGAGTGCAATGTAAATGATTGACCCTTTTCCTAGCTCAGTGATGTGTTACTGGGGGGAATATCTTTGTTTGTCACTGCCCCAGTGCTGTCAGACAGCATTGCTGTTCCTGCAGCTGTGAAACACTTGGCACTAATGTGCCCACAAATCCATTCAGATTTGTCCTGCTGTCCTACTACAGTCCTAGTATCTGCAGTGGAGTTCATAATTGTGGAGTAGACACAAAACCTGTCGGGGGTCCTTTGTTCATAAGAAAGGGGGTTTGCATAGCATCTTTTGGGATGGAGCCTGTTGTTTAGGCATTGTAGAACAGCAGATTGTGGTGCTTACAAAAGCCCTGTGAAAGGTGGGGATCTGACAAAAAAAGGATAGGCTAGGCATTGCCTCTTTGAAGCACCTCTGATGGTATTACTTGTGCCGTTTGGGGAATGCAGCATTTATCTGACTTAGGTCAGTCTGTTACTTCTAGCAACATTTTTTGAGAATTGTAACTTGTCAAAAGCTCTTAGACAAAATAAATGTGTAGTGTTAAAAAATGCTGGGAAAAATCTTTCTTCAGAAGAGCTTCAACACTGTGCAGATTATTCTTCTAAACCTGTTCTTCTTGGCAGTTCAACACAGTGAAAATAGTCTGGTACCATGTGAATGGGCACCCGGCCACCTCAATGAATAAGCATGAATGGAACCAGCCAAGCGGCTCTGACGGGCATCATTGTACGTTCTGAGGGTAGAATTTAAATTTGGGATCACAAATAGGTCTCCCAAAATTTTTGTTCAGAAAAGAACAAGGATTGCTTGTGCGTACTGCTGAGGCAGAATCTCTCTGCCTGTTAGGCTGGGGTAACCTCTTGGCTTTGTTGTACTGGTAATACCAAGGGCCCAGTCTGAATTGCAGAGGTGAACACAGCATATTCTTTGTGTGTTAGGACTGAATTGAGAGGTTCAGAGAGCCTGCAGGGCTCAACAAAGCTGTGTTCCAGCATTGTGCCTGCACAGCCATCACTAACTGCCAGCAGCTTCTCAAGATACTGGTACAGAGAATTACTGTGCTGATGCCTCCTGCCATTCCTTGGGTCTCCATTCACAAAAGGGAGGTGTCACCTTGGTATTCTCAGGCTCCCTCAACACTCAAGTGTAAATTTTATCTTCATGCTGCCAACTTTAAAATTAAGCCTTTATTTCACTTGGAAAGAATTTCTTCAATTTGGTATTTAGTAACTTATCTAAAACAGTTGTTCTGAAATGCTATAAAAGAAGAATACAAGCATTTTAAAAATGCATTTTCTTAATTTGAGTATAATCTGACTAGTGATAAAAATCTGGAAGTTACTGTGTTAAAAAAAATAAGTTAGTGCTTTGTAACAACTGTGCAACATGGTGTGAAGCAGGCAATAAAGTGATGAATGAATGGTGAAAGCATTAAGGGAATAACTTTCAGATAACATAGCAAGACATTACAAATAGGCATACTTAGAAATCCATTACTGAAATCACAGACATTTTGTAATTAGAGCCACTGACATTTTGTGGACGTTTGTCTGTTAGAGATGCTGCCACAATAAAACAGATGTTGTGTTAACGGGTATTAGAAAAATAAACACTGACCATCTTAAGCATTCCAAGCAGCCACTTCAGTGTATTTGTAGGAGTTGGGTGATCCAGAGTGCCCAGGACTGAAAGATGAGTTGACAGTTACATGAAGAGAATATCTGAAATCAGAAGTTTAAATTCAGCCTACCCCAAACCTTGAATTACTCTAAAAATTTGGTGACTGAGGCATTTAAAATAGAAATTCATTGCAAGTCAACACCTGGAAAGAATTATTTATTCTTAGCCATATGAAATATAAAGGATGACAAATTATTTCAGATTTCATTTTTTAAAATGTGCTTGCTGTGGAAACATTCAAATGAAAAAACTGATGTCAAAATATTTTTCTTGTCAAACAATTGGGCGTATCATTAAAAATCTGCCAGTTGTGTTTGTGCTGAGAATTTGATGTACTTAGAACATGTTCCTCTCCAGCAGCTACACAGGGTCTAGGTTAAGTGTCAAGTTAAATGCCTAATGAGAAAGGGTTTGACTTGATCACAAAGGATCAGAAATACATTTGTAACTTTTTTAAAATATGCAGGATGAAACTGTTTGTCTCATTCACATTGTTGGTTTCACACGACTGACTTGATTAAGATGAGAATGATTTTACCACAGTAGAGGTGATATTACATATGATGGGATCTCTATATGCATTACTTCACAACTTCAGAGTAATTCCTGTATACCCTTGATTCTTTCTTCCTCTCACCAAAATGTTATCTTCCCAAACCTGGTATCTTCCTGCAAATGATACAGGTGTTGAAGATACACGTTCTGAAACAGTAGCTTTTACAAGGGATTCTCTAAGTTGGTGTCACTGAATAACCAAACATTCTGGTGTTATTTGAAGGACAGATGAAGTTTTACATTTTCTTAGTTACCCAAGTTTGCAGTAAAACTGTACATTAAGGTCTCCTATTTACTTTGGGTCAGACTCTACAGTGGAGGCAGATTCTGAGCTCTGTGTGTAGGAATTTCTGGGAGCAACAATCTCTCCTAAGTGGCAATTCCTGAGAGCAACAAGAGCAGATGAGTTTGTTTCCAACTGTTCAGGTCTGTTCCTTGTCACAGATTGAAGCCATTAAAAGAACGGCTCAACCACGTCAAACGTGCAGCTCCACGTGCGGTGCCACGTTCATACAAGAATGCTCAGAAGCTGTTGCTTGCAGTAATAACACAGATCATAGCAGTGGACAATTTCTGCCGTGAAAACAGTTATACTTCATCTGTCAAGCAGGACATGAATTGCTTTAAACTTCCACCACAAAACCTTAATGTATTTCTCATGGTGGGGAATGGGAAAGAAGAGCTAAGCACATGCTCTGTAAGGGATGCAACAGCTTTGTCTGACACCCAGGCTTTGGAGTGTTGCTCAGAGCATAAACTCTAGTGTGGGAGAAGAGCCTTGGCCTGCCCTTCAGCACTGGTCTGTCTCTTGACTGGTTTTTATGTCTTGCAGCAGTGCTTTCTTTAGAAACAACTCAGCTCTGAAGTGCCAAGTTTAACAAAAGAAACTAGCAATCATGACTGAAAGTGCTCTTTTGAGAGCCTACTGAAAGAAAGAAAATGTATTCTGAACCTTAAAGTAATGGCACTCTGTTCCTTTTCAAGTACATAAGGTGTTAATACACATGAATTAAAACCAGATCATTTATGTTTCCCTTTTTTATTACCAGATGATTTTCTGGTCATTTGCTTAAGTAGAATTTGATACTTTTTGGGTCACTTGGAAACATGTAATCAAGCCCTAATGACAGGAAATGACAATGCCATCACTACCTTATAACCCACACTACACTGTATTCAAAATGACTGCCTGAATCAGTCTTCCATAGTTTCCACAGTGATGTGGAACAGCTAATCCAGTACAAGTGGGTTTTTTTGTCAGCAGGAGGAGTGAATTATGCTGTTAATACCGACAGAATGAAGTCAGCCAGGAACAGTATGTCTGGCACTGGAAGAGGCAGTGCCTGTCTGATACATAGGTGTTATATGATCTTGCCTTACTGGCTTCATGACTTCATGTTGCTTTATTCCAGTTAAAAACATTCACCCTATCTCTGAACAGAGTTAAGAGATCAACAACACCAACCGAAAGCCAGCTTTGATCTTATGGTCTCCACCTGCAATATTCAAATGTGTCTAAATTTTCATCAGGTTATGATCATTAGAAGTAATTTTTTTTTATTTAATCTACCATCCTTACAAAAATGAAATGAGATTTCAATATAAGATTTTAAAGGATTGTGAAGTAACTTTGAAGGTAATTTAAAGAGGCTGTCTCTTATGGACTGCAGTCTTGAGACACCTGCCTTTGCTTTTGCATTGCACAAGGGCACCAGACACATATTTGTGTTTGTAGATTCTGCTAGGCTGGGATGAACCCAAAAGTGTCACTCAAAACAGAGCACACACATCCCAAAATTTTCACTGTTAATAAATTCTTTCTTGTATTAACTGATAAGACTCCATGTAATTTAAAATAAGCATTCAAGGTTAATGAATGGGTATACAATTAACCTCAGTGCTTCAAATTTCAGTCTGTACAAGACAACAAATATTGGTTATGTGCAGAGATGAAGTAACTGTTACAGCTCCAAAAGAACCTCCATGGAAAATCTGAGTGCGTGCTCATGCACAATCATTTTTATCTGTGCATATCCACAGTTGTAACAGCCTGACTCCTGAACTGACTTAGCAGTCTTATGTAAAATAATTTCTATGACTATTTAAATATATAGCACTGCTGTTACTTATCTCTCTCAGCAATGATCTTTTGTTTAGAAAGATAGAACAGCTTACCATAAAAGTGCTTGTGCAGGGAGGCAGCAGGATTTTATCAATGGGAGGACAGAGAAAATAGCTCCTTTCAGCCACATGTTAAGGATGTCACTCTTTATAATTAGGGGCCAACACTGATTAATGTATCAGCATTTGCAGAGATGTGACTAAATCAGTCCCAGATGGGAAGAAATTTATCAAACTTTTTAGCATTTTAGATTCACACAAAATAAAATAATTTCAGTCATCTGGACAAGTTCATAGAATCAAGCCTTGCTTTAAAAGAATTTAGCAGTCACAGTTTAGTACATGTTAGCATGTCTCAAAATGTACCAGAAACAAGCATGTAATACAAGAACACCAGTCATTACTGGGTTGTACTAAAGACTGTGTAAGGTTGCTCACTCCATTAGAAAACAGAAGTGTCTTGAACTACACCACTATAAGCAGAAGAGCCACCTAACTTTAGGCATTTACATCTAAGCTTATTAAAAATTGCCTTTACAGTTAATGCTGAAAAACGAGCATATGCAAACTATGACCCATTTTATCCTAATGTAGAAATATCCCACCCTTGGCTGCTTCATGCCAGCTTTCCTGTGTTTGTGGGATGCCAGTAAGCTGTTTTAAAATTATGGATGCTGACTACACAAATACAAAGCCTCCTTGAAGAAAAGTCATCAAATAAATCTGATTTTTAAACTACTCTCCACAAACACCTGACAAAGCTTAATCCACAAAACTGCACATTCCTTGTTTAATGGTTTTATACTCACATCAAAGTGGTTTCACCCATTAGAAATAGTTTATTTTCTACATAGTTTGCAAAATTTATTTTTAGCATGCATTGTAATGAATGACAGAGGCACATTCCAACAGAGTACTACAGCTGTTTAAAGAATGAAAAACAACCAGTCAGTTTTCCCTCCACAACACGAGGTCTCATAACAAGATTAGTTTTACAACAAAGTGCCTATTCTTCAAAGTAATGCAGCAACACTTGAGCCTATTTAACAGTTATTGTAGGCAGCCTCCATCAAACAGGTTAGTATTATTTTAACAGGACAGCCATCCAGAAACTTTTGAAGACAATGTCAATATTTTAATAGCTATTTCCAAAAGCTTGCAGCGACGTAGTTCTGATGTTTTGGCAGGCACAGAATTGTTTAGAAATTGGTCTCTGATCTGCAGTGTTATTGGACTGGGCAAGTGTTAGCACACCCAACTTAGCCTAGTCAGTCTGAAACTGAGGGAGCAAAAGCAATAGAAAGTTCTGGGGGTTTTGTTGGTTTACTCATTAAAATACAATTTTGTACGTGGATGGTTAAACATATTTCAAGCCATTTGCAGGCTTTCTATTAAAACCACTTCTTTAGGTGACAAATAGGATTGAATGAAATCTCCAAGAAACAGCCTAAAATAAAAAAGCAGATGGAACTAAATTTCAGGTTCTGTACAGTTTGTTTGCATGTTGCACTTTTCTCCATCAATTTAAATAGATTTCTTTTTATGAACTAGGTACATTAATCTAATTATTATTGATAGAGTTCTCTTTCAAATTGGAGGGTCCACACTGTATGTATAAAACTTTCTATCACCCTTAATATTTTGAGTGTTAAGAAAATTTTCTTAGGAGTACAACACACTTTTCTCATTATTCAGTGATCACTGATGTGCACAATTCCTGCCAAAAGTTGTCTGCAGGGAACCTTGTAAGTTTTAATGATGCCAACAGAAGAAACTTCCTTTCCACAGTGTAAGAGTCACAGGAAACAAGGAACAGGGCAGAGATGTCACTAAGCCATCAAACATAGAACCAAAGTTGAATAAAATGCCTTTTTTCAGAACTTAGCCACAAATGTTTGTGTAATCTTCACAGTGTTTTGCTAACTTGCTTTTGTATTCCTATACTTCCAGGAAATCCAAAACCACTTGGAGTTACTGGTTCGTTGTTAATGGCTGCAGTTGTCTTTAAGAATAATTCTAAGCTTTGTAGGTAAATGGGAAGTTACTTGCAACAGTAGAAAAGTTCCATTAATACCGTCATTGTCTATCTCTCAGTATTTCTTTCTTAAGTACACTCAGGTTTGGTGTCTGAACCAGATTACATCTTTTGTATCAAATCTGGCTGGCTTTCTATTTAGAGGAGTTTTTTCTGTAGGTAAAATTAGGCTCCAAAAATAAGGTTCTTGGATGGCTCTAGAAGCAACTACTGCAGTACATTTAAAGGAGATAATGGATATTAAAATGGAGGCATTTTGAAAGAGCTACAGTCAACACAGTCTGAATTGTTTTAATGCAACTTGTAATAGATTATGTGCTTATGGCTTGATTAAGAGCCACATCAATGCAACAATTACCAAGTAAAACCTTGCCAGCCCAAGGTAGGGATGTCACCTCTTGATGTGACAATAAAGGTATTACTGCTGGTCCTTACAGAAGTTAGCAAAGCAATAGCAAGGTATCTTGAAACACAAACAAGCTACGCACTAATCAACAATCCTGGTTACTTAACATAGCTACATCACAGTTTTCAAGCCCCCAGGTGAAATGGCTGTTCACTAGCAGATACTACACAATTAATTAATTAATCAAACTTTAGAGTGACAGAAATGGCAAGGCGCACATAAAGAAGAGAAATGCATTGGCACTATTATTCCAAAGGTGAGTGTTTGTGACTTTGTTTCAAACAGGAGAAATGTTACAAAACTGGAAGATTTAATTACCTAATAAAACAGGTCTCTGCAAAATATATAACTAACATTCATCTTACAATCAATTTCCTTAAGCCAAAAAACTAACCTTACATCTGTAATTGTCAAAGAGCAATAATTTTAGCCCTGGAAGCCACTCAACTGAAATATCTACACATCTGAAGTTCCCAAGTACTTTAAAGTCCTATTAAATGCAGTTTATGATATTAGACATCCAGGACTAAAAATTCTGCCAACAGTTTAAAAATAAACATTCACATTTAACAAAAAAAACATGCATAGGATTGTTCTTCATAACACTTTTTTTCCAGGAATCGAAAAACAACATCTGTTATAGTTTTGGGGTCCCAATAAGCCTTTTTAATCTACAGAAATTTATATACAGTATCTATTAGCAACACAGAACTGATTTAGTATTCTGTTTAGAAAGCATCTGCTCAAAGCTGAAAATCTAGATGACAACATTTACAGTGTTAAAAGTGCTTCTCCAAAGAATATACTGTTCATATACATACAGTCTCAAAATACTTCATGAACTCTGAAATGGTTGTCTAAGGAGGGAACTTCATCAGCAAAATGCAGTTGATCATTTATTTCCACACCAAATTCTTCAAGTATCTGTACAAATTTCTCATGCTCTCTCCCAATCCATGACCTCATTGTGTCAAACACTTGGTACGGTGTAACGTGGGCATGAACTTTAATTCCTGTCTCTGCAAGTTCTTTCAGCATTTCAGGGTAAGTAACCCAAGTGTTGCTTCCTCCCGAGTGACCACCATCCAGCCAGTAAATTGCTTTTATGTTTTTTAAGAAGGTATCTGTATTCTTGTCTTTTTTGGCTTCCTTCAGCTCATAAAGCAGCTGGTTCAAAACCACACAACCTTTACTGAAGCCAATCAAAGTAAATGATGCTGCATCTACAGCAGAGGGTACCATGACGTTCCCAGCAGAATTATTAGAGCATTCACAATCTCTCTCCCTTTCTTTGGACGAGCAGCCATTTGTTGTAGGAACAGACTGTGGCTGTGATTTAAAAGCAGCTATTTTTGCATCCTTGCTGACACCGTGCACACTTTTCTGGGACAGCAGAGTATTCTGAGAGAGTCTGAATGCATTAACCAGCAAAGCATGGAGATGCTTGAAAGCTCCAAAGTCAGTGCTGTGCTCTGGTGCTCCAAACATGTTACTTGTCACAAAATTGTCATAGCAACTGAATTTGTGCAGGTGCATTCGAGAACACTTTATGACCCAAATAAAGCTATTGGGGAACCGGCGAGCGAGTATGGTAGCAACATTTTCAAAACTCCAGTGCTCCCACTGAAAGTTTTCTGGGTGGCAAGACATGATGTCATGATAGTTCTGAAAAATTAAAAAAATATAAAAGATGCATTACTACATTGTGAAAAGATTCAGCTCCAATGTGTACTCCTATTTAGAAAGGAGAAAAGAGTCCTTTTTCACAGAAAGGACTGTAAAAAACCCCATGCATTAGAGGCTCCTACTTTCTAAGTTTGCAGAACAAGAAACATATAAAAGAAACTGGTATATTTTGACTTGCTTCCTTTAATATTTTTACCACATATTTTTAATACCCCCAAGATCAATATAATGAAGTCAGCACATGAAAATATTCATACTTTTTGTTGACTTCACACATTGAAATATTATTCAGCTTAGTATAACACACATAATTTTACTGCATTATCTCTAGCTACACAGGTCTGATTATCTTTCTACAAAACAAAAACAAACTTAAAACTTTGTAGTCAGTTTTCTGGATTTTATATGGAAACAAAAATATCCCCTCTCATTCACCTGCAGGAATTTTTTTTGCCTTGTTCACATCCATAGAGGGCATAGATTGAAGGAAATTATCCCCAAGTCATGAAAGAACCTCATGTCTGAAATCTTAATGGCAAAGAATACCAGTTCATTTATTTTACTAAGGAATAATGAAGCCATATGCAAGAACAGCAATCAGACAAGTCTTCATAGGCCATCCCAATCCTTAAAATAAAAACACACAAAATGCTGCATCTTTACCTGACAGAAGGGAAAGCCTTTTCCCTTGAAGAAGGCACTACTGCTGCTTTTGAGAAGCAGTAATGACAATTGAGATTAGCTGGCCACCAGAACATGTTATGTTAGAGTGGTCGACCAAGGGCTTGGGGACAGCACTTTGGAGTCTCTGTAATTTCTTGCCAACTCCAGAGACCACAGGACAGGCTGAGAAAGCACCAGTGCCTGTTAAATTCCCAAAGGGCAGTGTCTGGGATGTCCATACAGCTGCACGGTGCTCTGCCTGGGGAGGACAACCGGGCACCTTAGGGTTTTGTTGTCCTGTCTCCATTAACACTTCTTGCCACGCTTCCAGACACTGCCATCCCTGTCACTGTCACCCTCAGGCAGCGCTATAGGGCTGGAGTGACTCCAGAGAAGGGCAGTGGAGCTGGTGAAGGGGCTGGAGCACAAGTCCTGTGAGGAGCAGTGGAGGGAGCTGGGGGTGTTCAGCCTGGAGAAGAGCAGGCTCAGGGGGAGCCCTTATTGCTCCCTCCAAGTCGCTGAAAGGAGCTGTAGCCAGATGGGGTCGGTGTCTTCTTTCAAGCGACAACAGGACACAGTTTTAGCTTGTGCCAGGGGAAGTTTAGGTTGGGTATTGGGAAGCACCCTTCGCAGAAAGGGTGATTGGATATTGGAATGGATTGCCCAGGAGGTGGTGGAGTCACCGTCCGTGGAGGTGTAGAAGGAAAGACTGGACAAGGCGCTTAGCGCCAGGGTCCAGTTGACGTGGTGGTGTTGATCATAGGCTGGACTCGATGATCTCCAACCTCAGCGATTCTGTGAGGACGACTCTCCTCCCCTCCACTACTGCTCCAGCTGAGGTTTCTGGAGGGCCCCTTCCCGCTCCCTGTGCCCGACCGTGCGGGGCACCGCGATGCTCCGGCGGGCGCCGGGCAATGCCCACCCGCACAGCCCTTCCGGGGACGCGTCCCTCCGGCGCCGCTTCCCCGCTCCCGCCCCGCGGCCGCTCCGCCGCCCGGGCCCCCATCTCGGGCCGTACCTGCACGTCCCCCGGGAAGTACACGACGTGGTGCTGCGGCGACGGGGCCGGGCCGCGCGGGGCGGGCGGCGGCAGCAGCAGCAGCTCGTTGGTGCGGTGCGCCTCAGCGCCCGGCACCTCGGGCAGCCGCAGCCACGGCGGGCTCAGCCGCGCCGCGGAGAACCC